TCTACTTGCTCAATCAAGGTTCCCAACTCTTTCATTCATCTTCCAGCACAAGCTTATCAACACCATCAGAGCAGCAACAATTACCTCGATGCTATTAAAATTTCTTTCCTTACTCTCACCCACTACCACAGAGCCCTCTTAAAAGTAGAGTTCACTTTTCTCCAGTCTTATGCTTAAACACTCTCTTACACATCTGCAGCCACTCCTCTCCTTGTGAGACACTACCACTACGTGAGGCACAGGAACACAAGCTGCTCTGTGTGCTGCACAGCTAAACAAGGTCATTTAATATACTTTTAATTTATGTTATAGTGTCTTTTAAAGACTTTTTAGAAGTCACAAAATGAAAACAAAGTAAAGCAGGTAAGTTAAAGAAAGCATGAGCTAAAGCCTAAGTAAGTTTCCACAAAAGCAACTGCAAACATGTTCCAGGCAGTATATTCAGCAGTTTCAAAGCTTCATAAGAAGCAAATATAATACAAGAAAATTATACAGATTTAATTTTGGAAGAGACCTATCTTACTTACCATTGGTACTGGAATGCAAAACTGTCTGCTATGGTTACAAGTTTGGGCTCCAGATCCTGGGTTCTGTAAATTTAAATGAAAAAGTATTTGACCATATTTTTTGCTTTTGCTACTCAATCTAAAACTTTATTTCCTTGGAGGTGGAAAACAAGAGTTTCTTACAGCGCTACATGATAGGGGAGTCAACATTTCTGTTTTATATTCACAAACACTAGTAAGCTAGGCATTTGAGTTTAGTGGGACAGCAGGAATCCTGCACTTTCTACCAAAACATATGGTAGACATCAACATTGTTTATAGTTAGCAGGCAATGCTCCTGAGGCAGCACCGGAAGCAGTGGGAAAGTAACAAGAACCAGAATCCCTGCAGTATGCTTTCAATCAGAGGTAACCTACACAAAGTTTTAGGCTAAATTGAAAATACAACAGTGTTAGTAGATTTTTTTTGTGGAGAGGAAGAAGGTATTCCTACAAAGGTACTCACTGCTATAAAATTTTAAAAGGCAAAGTATGACTTGAGTAAGAAAATAGAAATAGTTCCTCTTTGTATTAGAAGATATGGAATTAACATATAAGCATCAAATGTTAAACCTCAGCAAGTGTTGTAAGACTCGAATGAAACCTTGTAGTTTATCAAATTCCACCCATGAAATTAAACCCAACAGCAAAACCCTAAAAGTTCAAATTTGTGTATACTGTGTAAAAAGCAAAGTCAAGATGACAAACACACTTCACTGGTTTTACAGTAAATCTGACAGATCAGTTATTACAGTAATCTAACCAACAGCAAATTTTATATTAAAAACACCCTTGTATTAATGGAAGTTTTCTAGTCAGCCTCAAAAAGATGGGAGAGAAGGCAAGAAAACACACCTACAGATTGGGAACAAAACTGCAAACAGCAAGTCCTTGAGACAGCTTAAGTACAGACACGCTGGAAATGCTGCAACATCACTTCCAGGGTAGGCTCTGCCTACTTTATCAGAAGCTGTCTATTGAAGGTGTTCTGTATTTCCCCACCCATCACCACTAGGGAATAAAGGTGTTCCTCTTTATAATCTATTCCCAAAGATTGTTAACAGTAAAGCAGCACTGTATTAAAGTTCTTACAGAAATTCCTCTGGTTTCTCTTCCTACTACCACTCTCAAGCAACAACCAACTGAAACTGAACTGAAATTCACCTGACTCCTTTATTTTGTTGACAGAAAATGACAAAATTATGTGAATTTCCCCTGTTTACATAAGCTTTACTGAGAAGTAAGAATCCATAGTAAATTTAGAATTACAGCCTACAATTTAAAAACACATCTATTTCATTATTGTAAATAGTTCTTCTAGGAAAACTGGTGTTACTGATCAATAAACTTCAAACAAAATACCATCTATTAGCAAAGTACTCCAGGAAAGAGTCAGCTGAGATTATTTTACAGCACTCCTCAAGCAGCAATCAATGACAAAGAATTGTGGAAAATCCGAAAATCTGCCCCTAAAACTACACTGTAATTACTCTTAGTTTTGGTGGAAGATTTTCACAGAATCACAGGATCATTAAGATTGGAAGGGACCTCTGGAGATCATCTGTTTGAATGGTTCTATTGGAACCCCATTTGGACACATTCCTGTGTAACTGCTGGGGGTGACCCAGCCTAGGCAGGGGCTTTGATGCCTCCAGAGAGGAAGACTCCACAATCTCCCTGAGCAGCCTGCTCCAGTGCTCTGCCTCGTTGCTTTTTTCCCGAAAGAGCTAGGCATGACCAGCAACACAGCAAGCCATGGCCTCCCTGAGCAAGCTTCAGTTCTATTCTGTAGTCCACTTTCCCCCTTTTCTCTCTTCAGTTTCTGCTTGGTACAGACAATGGCATTAGGACTATAAATGCTCACATTCAAAAAAAGGAGAACCCTTATTAGCAAAGTAATTAATAACTACCAGTAATTCTATAATGTAGTAACAGTATTCATTATTTACTATACACTTAATCCTAGCAGGCAATGTCACAGAAGGGAGAAAAGGGGGGGAAACCCAGTACTGCCTCATCACAGTGAATTTTAATACATGAACAAAGTCAAGATCCAATTGTGAGGACACTGCAGACACTGCAATACTAAAAATGGAGAGGACCAATATTTCCTTTGGGATGCAGAAAGATGAGAGAGTAACAGACAAAAGCATCTATTAATACATATCCACATAAACCTCATCAATTTAGCTCACTATAAAACTTACAAAAAGTCAAAAAAATAAAGAACCACTCTTCCCTAATTGTTTCCACTCGTGCTTCCACAGACTCGTTTAAATTCTTCAACAAAAACAGTTGCTTTAGTGCATTGCCTTCGTACAATTGCCCGGCTAGAAAGCTCTGTCGGGGGTAGCAAGGGACACTACAATTATGGGGGAGAAGACAAAACTGCTGGACAATAGACCTGTCAAAAATCAAAGGAAGGGTAACCACAGCTATGAGCAACCACGTCTTCAGCAGTGAATCAGCTTCCCGACCAGGCAGCGCTTCCAGAATCCCAGGAGCGGCCGACGCCGCGGCAGTGACACGGCAGTGACACGGCCGTGACTCGTCCGCAGCCCCCGCACGGACCGGCGGCCCCGCACGGCCACAATCCCGGCCGGGAGCCGACTGCCGCCCCGCCCGCCTCCGGCGGCCTCCCTGCCGAGCCCCCTGCTGCCCCGCCGGGCCTGCCGCGACTCCCGCGCCCGCACAAAGGCAAAAGCTCCGCCGCCGGCGGCCGCTCGGGAGCCCCCCCGCCGCCGCCGCCGCCGCACCAACAATGCCCGAACCTGTTGCGCGGGTTCCCCCGGGCCGCACCGACCCGCCGTGCCCCCGGCAGGCCAGCGGCACCCGCCGCGGGGCAGCGAGCGGGGCGAGCTCGCAGCCGGGGCTGCTCCGCGGCACGGCTCCGCCACCGCCGCCCCGGGGAGAGCCGGAGCCGCCGCCGCACGGCGGAGCGGAGCGGAGCGGAGCGCCCCGCGGCGCCGGCAGCGCCGCTGCCGCCCGGGAACAAAGCGCGGCCAGGCCGCAGGGCCTGCGCCGCCCTCAGCGGGGCTGGGGCCAGGGCAGAGCCGCTCCGGAGCGCGGGTACTCACCCGATGCGGCTCTGCGGGTGCCCGGGCCGGGAGGACGCGGGGCAGAGCCTGGACCCGCCCGCTCCGGCCGGGCTGCGGCGGCTAACCTCGGCCGCCGCGCACCGCCTCGCTCGCCCAGCGGCAGCCCCTGGGGACGGGGGCGGCTCCGAGCCCTCCTCCGTCGGCAAGGAGACGGAGAGCGCCGGGCGCTGGCGGGCCCGCCCCCGCTCCGCTGCCCTCGCTCAGCGCCGCCCCCGCCGCGGGCGCGGAGCCGCGGTACCGCCCGCCCGCCCCTCGCGGAGCCGCCCGCCCCGCTCCGCCCCGCCCCGCCGGGAGACAATGCGGCCGTGCCGAGCGCTGCGCCCGGGGCCCGGCCCCGCCCGCCGCAGCTACGGACGGTCGTGGTAAACACTCAGCGTGGGACCAGCGGCAGTGTCCGGCTGCGGAGTTGACAGCGCTGGCAGCCGCGCTGAGATAACAGCTCTGTGCTCCGCTCTTTGGAGGTGCGCTGTGCGTGCTGGATGCGCGGCCAGCGGCTCCCCCGTGAACGCTGCCAGTGCCTCGGGCAGGTGTCGGCTGCCCCCGGGGCCGTTCGCCAACGACGATTCGGCACTCACGGTATCGCAGAATATCCTAAATATATCATAGAATACCCTGAGTTGGAAGGGACCCATGAGGATCATTTAGTCCAATTCAGCACTGACGTCTATTTTGTTTCACCTCTGATGGCAGATAAAAGCCCATCGTCTATCTTAGCTCCTGGACAAATGCCCTAAAACTCTTGTCAGGCCAAGATTAAAATAATAGAAGCAAAAATGCAGAAAGAAATGCTGTGAAGAAAGCTGCCTGGGACACTTGCCTTACATTCAGCCTAACCACTCTAGGACATATTGGAGTCTTAAATCTCCTTGCTGAATACATCATTAGGTGACCTAATGGCTCTTTAAAAAATTGGCTTCTGCAAACTCTATCTTATTTTGCTCCTGGTTTTTCCAGAGCAGTTGAATATAATTTATTGAATCTCATTCTGAGTATGAAAACTGTATCACAGAGGCTGCAACTGCTTCGTTTCTTCCCTCAAGACAAGAGTTTGCAGAGCCGCCTCTGTTCACCACTTTTCCTGGTTGGTGTCCAGTCAACATCTGCTGCAGCCACCACCACCTTTGGGACACACCTGTGGCACTGAGCTCATCCCTGGCCTCTGCAAACTCAGGATATGTCCCTCTCTCAGCAACACCACCCACTGCACATGCACGAGCAAAAGATACTGTCATACAGATTTTCAGATGAGGCCTATCAGCCAAGGCCTGCCAGCCTCGAGAACACACCTTCTCTCTTGGACCTTTCTTTCCCGGAAAAATACTTAAAACAGCAGCAGCAAAGAAAAAGAAAGGGCAAAATTACTTCCTTCACATTTTAATTACTTCTTTGTAGAGACAAACAGAGATAAGTTATCTTCATCAGCTTCCCAACAAAAGTAAATTGCTGTACAGAACCTCTTTAGGTGTGTTCACTAATGATTTAAAAATGTGCCAGATAGAACTTCTACATCGCTCTTCTACATTTATGCTTATTGCACACTTGTGGGAAAAAGTTAAGATAATAGAAACTTTCACTATTCATCAATATTGACTTGAGATCTCTCAGGCTGGATCTTTGTAAGCTCTGACTGAAGGACAAATAGTAATTCAGAACACCAGGTAAGTCATCTGATGCCTGACACGTGAAAGCTCAGTGGGACTCTCTGGCACATATATCTTTAAAAGGAGCAAGACAAAAATAAACAAAGGAAAAACTACAGCTGATTGTCATACATTAATTTTGCTTTCTGATTTCACATGTCTAAGATCCTCCATAGTGCACTTATTACACTCTGTGAACCATTCCTATCACATAGCCTATACTATAAATTGAGTGGTTTTGCTTTGCCTTGTAGATCTCTAATTTTCAGTACACATAAACTCATTAATCCTGATAAATTTTCTTGTGGCTACTTTTGGGAGAGGAGAGGAGTGGGAGAGAGAGGGAAAGGAATTCAGTCCAAAAGGATATAGACCCTGTTTCTCAATTTTTCTGGTCCCAACTAGAGTCTTTTCTCAAAGACAGAACAAGGCTTCTCCTGCAGAGGAGGGACAGAATTCTTGCAGTGCCTTCCATAAGAGAGAATTACCCAAAAGTCACTCATTTGTACTCTGGTTGGAGATATGCTAGTTTAAATATAAAAATACTGCAACAGGTTTTCTGACTTTTGTTTTCCATGCTCCATTTTTTGAATGAGTGACCAGGACAGACTCTGACATAATTAATATTTTTAAGGTCATGCCATCAGTTTAGAGTTGTAGTTAATTGCCTTTTCCATGCAAACTGCCAGTAGGAAGAAATCAGAGTATCAAGGATCCATTTGATTAAAATGACCCTTAATATATGGTGTTATTCTCCAGCAGCTGTGCCAGATTAACTCAAATACAAATGAAAGCAAATAGGCTGAAAACATCCTGAGCTTTGGGCACTGTGCTGTGTGCCAGCACAACAGAGCCTTTGTTACAAGGCAGAGCAGTGCTCTCACAACAGAGTTACTGCTTCCAGCTTCAGCCCTTGCTCTTCTAGAAAAATCAGCCTTCAAAGAAAAACAAACAAAACCCCCATACACTTCTACTGGACACCAACTCATGGTGGCACTGGTCACTCAGATGAGACACTGACCATCCTGTGCAGCTCCCCTCAGGTCTGTAATACGCCTTCCCTCTTGCTCCACTTGCCCCTGGGCAAGGGAGGTGCTGCTAGGCACAGCCTTGCACCTGGTGGGCTGGAAATCCTCCACCTGGAATGATTTACCTTGCTGCCTTGCTTGTTGTTTGCTTCTACATCTCCCTGCAATAGATAGGCAATTGATTTCACTTGTAGCACAAAAATGAATGTGAACAGTTAAGTAAATGGTATCTAGTGGGTATTGGGAAGAAATGCAACTTACAGAATAGTCCAGTTGATAAAAGGTATATACTAAAAATAAGCAAATAACTATATGCAGTGGGATAAGTGTAGGCTGGCAGCAATGAATTATAAATAAAAGCTGTGGAATATTTTCCACATGGAGCTTTCTGATCATGAAAAGATGGTATCATCATACTCACAGGTAAGAAGCAGAGGCACCTACTACTTTAATACCTTATGCATTTGTCATACAGCTAGATTCATGTTGGAAAATCAGTGAAAAAAGCCCCTTCTATAAGGATAGATAGGAGGTTTGGGAAGTGCAAGTGACAGAAAAATTCAAGCATTCAGTGCACATTCAAAACATCACAGAAACAAACAAAAGATCTGCAGAATTCAGTACATGAGCTACCATTCACTGGCTCCTGAAGGTAAGCCACATTCACCTATTAGCATTCAGATTTTAAATGACCCTTTAAACACAAATACTAGGTTTTAATCCTGAACTGAGGAGTGATTGTTTCTTCTGAAACAATTACAACAATGCCTTAAATTGTGCTCTTAATAGAATTTGAAACTCTAATCCCAAATAGCCCAAACCCATGAGATTTTGTTTACTGACTAGCACAGGCAGAAAGCCTGGCACTCTGTGTAGACAGCACCTAGCAGGTTTTGAAGGATCTATGTTTTATTGTACTTTTCAGAGGGCGTGTAAAACAATATTTTAAAAATTTCATCATAATTTTAAAGTTCTTCTGTTCAATTCTATGTAAAAAACCATAGACCATTTTATAATGAGATACAGCAGGATGAAACTTTGCAAGATTCTGAAGAATCTGGAGTGTTTTGTTTTTTCATGTGCTTCTTAATGCCCAAGTACAAACAATAAAGTACCCCTATCGTGTCCTTCCAAGTACTAGAGGCTGTTGGATTGTGCTTCCTGCAGCAAACTCGGCAGTGACTTTTGTTACTTTCTTTAATTATTTTTTATTTTCTGTGAAATAGTCTTCATAACTTGGTCTTTCTTGTATAAAATAAAATAGAAGCATAAAGGCTGCATTTCCTGAGAAATATTTAAAAGGAAGGAAAGCTATCTGTGCTTAGTATTTTGCTGCTCAGATTTCTTAAATATGAATGTAGTTTCTTTACAAATTTATTTAATCTTGTGAAGGAAAAATGATTTATGGCTGGCAGTAGACCTTGAGCATTTTTGATACAAGGGGGAATGCCTTCCTTTCTGCACAGCACCTAACATAACAAGAAAGTTGCTTCTCATGTCCTTCCCCTGTGGCCACAAACAACCTGGGATACAAGGGCAGGGATCTTGATCCTATAGCTTCACTCAGAAGGTACACAGCAGCAGAATGGAGAGGGGCACGTCTCAGGTCATGTTTGTGGCCACAGGGGAAGGACACGAGGACCAACTTTCTTATTCTGTTAGGTGCTTGTGCCATCCCACTGAGCAGGTTTGGTGGGATGTCTGCAGCATGCTCTGTCTCCCAATGGCTCAGTCTGATCAGGGGTTACTGCTGGTGTTTGCTGAAGCAGAGGAACTGTACTTACCATACTAGTTATCACAGGAGCCATAGCAGCTCTGAGAAGACATGACTGTGGAAGTAACACAGAGAGAGAGAGCTGATAATCAATGACATTTTGAATGACTCCTGTACAAAGCACCTAATGTTCTGCTGGAACCATATTTGCAGCTCCGTGATGCTTTCTTCTGCTTGCACCCTAAAAAAGGAAAGAACAGGGATTTTTCTAATGAGACTTGATTACCATCTCCCTGCAACTGCCTTGCTCTTCAGCCATGGAGTATATTAGCACTGCAGAGGCAGCCACACTCAGTACCACCACCATTTTTGCTTACATTAGATTTAGAGTTCATTTTCAGTTTCAAAATTAACTATTAGCAAAATGTTCACAGCATAAAAGAGGTTAGATGGCAATGTTGGTCAGGGATTGAGAATTGGGTGTTCTGTACTGTAACTGTTACTTTGTGTGGTCTTAGAAAAGGGGAAGACAAAGACAGCTTTACATTTTTTGCATGCATTATTGTGTGATTCTACATTTTAGCACAGTTCAGACATGGTGATGTTACCAAGCACCTTCTTGAGAAAAAAACTCTTCTCTAAGTTTCTTTGGAGGGCCATAATGGGGTGTTTGGAAAGAGGATAAACTGAAAGGGGTTTCCCAGTAATAGGCTTTTCTCTAAATAAATCATCTTTCTACGTTGACAAAACCTATTAATTTACACAAATAAGTAAAAGTTCTGCATAGGCTCCTCTTCATATGGCTCGAATCTCTTAAATTACAAACAACAGCATGCTTCAAGGTTAGGTTATACACTAATCACAGTCATTGTTAGCAAAAGTGAATTGAAAGAGGATAAGTAATATGAGCTATTTTTAGAGGCAATAAGAGGCAGAACTCTTCGCTTTCAGAGAAAAGTAATTTTTAGGAGTGAGTGGCTGAGCTGGTTAAAATTCTTCTCTGTGTCTACATAAATGTCCTTAGAGCTACCTGACTTCATAGTTTATTATGTTTATGTAGAAGCTTTAAATTGTAACCCTTTGAGTCAAAAAGATAAAATCTCTATTTTATAGAGATTCATGTTCAATGACTTAATATTCAATGTTCACCCAGAGTCAGAAATTCTCTTCAAGACAGAATATCATGACTAAAAATCCAACTATTTTTCCAAATAAAGTAATTATACCTGTAGCTATAACTAAAAAATAAAGCATCTTGGAATGAGTGGAGTATATTTCTCACTGCTTTGTCGAAACTTTTGTGTACAAGCTTTAATGCATTTTGAAAGGGTAATTTCAAATTTAATGAAGTATGTTTATCCTTAAGATAAATTATTTCTGAAATCTTTGTCAGAATGGCAAGGATTTTCAAACACATCCAAAAGCCCTGGACGCCTAATCACAGTACATGTTTCTAATCCACATAAGTGTTTTAAAATTCCATTGATTGATCCTTGTTTTCTTGTTTTTTGCTTAGTTCACAAGCAGTTTGTAAAACTCTTCCTATTTTTTTTTTTTCTGTACAATTGTGGGCAATCAGGCTGCAATAGTTCTCTTAGTCACAGAGGTCACACACATTACAAACAGGTTGTTAAAGTCACTCAGGCCACCTAGAGAATAAAGTGCAATTTAAATGTAATTTGAATAATACTGTCTAATCCAAAGTGCTGATAATTTTCCAGTCTGAGGCAAGTATTTCTTGAGCTTGTCATCTTTAGAGTATTTGGTGTTATACAATAACTGAAATTTGGATGTAACTGCTGAGTACTAAATTAGGTACTTGGCACTTTGTCTTCTAGTACATGAACATAATTTCAGAACAGCTCATACTGAGAGAGAGGAAAATAGGGCAGAGATTAGCAAAATCATGCAGCAACTTTTACTTAATAAGGTAATTCTGAAAATCTTTGATATAAACAAATATTGTTAGAGAATATTATCATATACTAAGTTACTCTACATAAAATTTTGCAAAATGTGGAAATTTGCATTTCTATATGTAAAAAAGATTTAAAAATTCCCTTCCTTAGAGGCTCATAGAAAATTTTATATCAGCAAATGATCCTTTCTAAAGAAAAGATAGTTAAAATCCCTCATATACTTCCCATGTACCAGTGAGCAGATTGAAAATGCAACATACTCTGAATTAAACTCTCAGTTTTCTTTATCCTGACATAGCAGCAAACTGTCCTGCTAAAATTCATGAGCATGCTAAGCATATGCAGTCATAACCAGTAGGTTTTTAAACCTTCTTTAGGATAACCAAGCCCCAGATGTTTTCATTGTCTGGCCACCTACAAGCCTCACAGAAGGAGGTTCTTAGCCCTGCTGGTTGTTGTCACCAGTGGTAGTGCCCATTCTTCTACAAAACTTCCTCAGCACCCTCTCTAGCTGAAGTGAAGTCCTTTTCTGAGCTCAGACTTGCTGGCCTGCTTAGTGCTGGAGGCTACACTTCAGTGTTGTGCCATGAGGGAAGCAAGCAGCCTGTTCAGCTTTGCCTTCTGCTCACAGTAGAAACTTCTTTATGCATTTCTCTGTTCAGGTTTCCTCCCTGCCTTTCCCTCCTACCAGGCAGGCTCTGGGTTTAGCTCAGACGGCTCTCAATGCACCCGTTCTGCCTTCCCATGCCTCTGTCAGTACATGTCTCCAAACAGCCTCTTCTCCATGGGGGCCATCTCAGGCAGGCTTTGATAAGCCCTAACTTCACTGTCACCTGCCCTTCTTGCCACTGCCTTTTGTTGTGCATTTTAATTTGTGCTGTCACACAGTGAGCCAGGCTGGAGAAATAACTAAGATCAAAACCAGCTTCTTTCTCCCCCTACAAAGCTGATTTATCCAGCACTTCCATCAAAGGAAATATTCATCAAACTCTAGCCTGAGTTAAAAAGAAAATCCTTCCTGTTAAGTCTCACATGCCCTTCCCTCACAGTACTCGGTCCATCGTGCCTTTCCTGGTATCAATCCTTCTCTTCAAATATTTTCCTATTGTCTGACAAATTTGATTAGCCAAGGTTTTCTAAGCTGCTTCTGTGACATTCTTCAAATGGCTTCACCCTGATGAGACAGCAAAGTTCAGGAGTCCTTCAATATTCCAGTTTTTGAACATGTCAACCTCTACCAGAATGCGGCAGGTCACACCTATCCTGTGATAGTAACACAGAAATGTTTTGACATCAACCAGAATTTTCAGTTGCACAAATATTACCCTAGAAGTTATGTGCAACTCCTTCCATCATTCTTTTTAATTTTCAACCCATTGTAAGAAATTAAACCATTTTTGATAGAACAGGAAGAAAAGTATTTTCCTAATTCTTGTTTCAGTCCTGCTAAGCCTCATCAGTACAATTAGTGCTCTTGTTCAAAGTTGACTACTCATGTATATGAAGTTGCTTGTTTCAGTAAAATATCTGCAGAAATAGACATACTGTTTTGCACCAGAGTGCAAATCTTGTATAGGTTGCCTCCAGTGACAAGGAGCCCTGTTCATCTCAAATATTTCTGTAGCTCCACTGGCAGTTTTGAACTTTAGATCACCTATAAACCATGTAAGTATGCAAATACTATAAAAGACTTAAAAGCAGATTTCCATTTACCAGCAGTCTTTTAGAACAGCACAATGAGCTGAATGAAAGATGAGTCAAACCAACAAACCTGTCTTTGGATACCTCTGTTCTGTGAAGTGTCCATTTGAGTCCAGACCCAAGTTGCTCTAACCAAAGGCAGTTTCCTTCCCAGAGCCAGTGTGTAGGATCCCTCTCAGATGACAACTGAAAATGCATGGCATTTCTCTTCTTCTCATGGGGCAGAACATGAATATGGAGTTTGGAATATTTGCAGCAGTTAATGTGCAGCAAAGCAAAACAGAAAACAAATAAAACCCTAAGTATTTTTTGTCTCGTACTTGGTAAATAAAACATTGCATTTAGGTTTTATCCAGATTATGCCTTAAAATTTCCCCCCTTGAGTAAATGTAAAGTTTTTCTATTCTGCATATTAACTAGTATCTTTACTTTTATCAGTGGCCACCATTGCATTTTTCAATCACATTTTTAGGCTTCCCTGCAAAACTGACATGGTTCCCAAAATTGTTAATAAACTACAGTATCCTGAGTGCTGAATCACTATACAATCTTTTAAAAATATTATCTCCATTTTTAATTTCAAGTTGAAATGCAAAAAGATAGATTTTTCTCACCACTTCACAAAAATCTATTTAAGACTCTCCATTAAAAGAATTGGAAATAAATTTTATAAAATATGCAGAATATTTACCATTTGTTGCAGTAAAAGGATTATACTTTTTAATAAGATCATATTCTCATTTTCATTACTATATTAACAACACCACCAATAATATATATATATATAATACTTATAACCAAGTTACATCCAATCATAAGGAAACTAAACAAACTAATAGAAGTATTTTATTTTGACATAATTAAGTCAATAAAGCATCTCTGTTTATTGGTAATGAAAACAGGATGCACACAATTATCTTCCAAATAATTCTAATATAAAAATCATACTATTTTAAAATTCTAGCTATACATGAAACAGTACATGCATTTTCTTGCCAACAAATTTCACATATTTTTTGCTTGAGAGGGGAATTATTTCATAGTGGCTTTGAAAGCTTAGGCATCTGTATGTCATTCCAGCAAAAAATCACTTTCTTTTTGTTGATTAAGAGGTTTTCAGTTGCTCAGTAAAAGTAGGAGGCTGCAAAAATGTTAGCATAGGAGGAAAGAGAAACAGCAATTATGGCCACATTGTTTGTGAACTGCACAATAAAATAAGGCTCATGTTGGTTCAACTCTCATTCTAGCATTTCTTAAAAATAGCTATAAATGAGAGTACTCCACAAGCATAATGAAGATTTTGTTTATCTGGGTTGTTTCAAATGAGGAATAAAAAATAAATAGCTTTATAGCAGGAAAACTGCAGTGGTGGAAATGTGTGCACAGGAGAGAGGAAGGTGTGCTAATCAGCTTCATATCCTATTCTCAGATCCCTGACAGAGCAGCTAAGTGATAATCCTTTCCTGTGCAACACAGGAAGATATCAGTTTCAATCTGGACATCAATATGAGAAGTGTAATGACAATTCAGAGCTGGTGCTGATAATTACAAAGCTAGAGGGACTGATTTATGAGGAAATGGCATTGATTAAAATTTGCATTTAGAGGACTTTGTCGGAGAGGATCACAGTGCTGTGCTGGTGTTAGACCAACATTTTCAAAAGCGAGCATGAAGCGCTGCCGTGCTGCTGGGGCCTCTGGTAGTCAGCAGACTTTCTGAGCAGGTGTTCAACAAAGCCAAAGCCTGCTGAACACCCTTGTGCTGAATACTCTGGGAGGAAGTGGTGGGCATTTAGTTGAAGCACCAGATACATTACTTTTATTTGTAAAAATGCTCAGGCGCCCACTTCACTTTGTTTCCATCCAGGTGCCTCTGATTTAAACAGCTCAAAGGCATACATAAAGTGAGTGAAGGCTCATTAGAATTGTATAGACACTACTGATAGCTCAGCAGACTGTGTACTTGGAACCTCTAACAGAAAAAACAAAATAAGCTCTCTGCCGCTACTTCCCCCAAAAGTATGAGTATTTCCCTCAGGAATCAAAGAAATTGACTGAATATGAATGGCACTATAGTAGATGAAAGAATGCAGAAAGAAAGAAGTGGCTATTGAGATGCTTGGATGAAACTGAAATTGGGAATTGCAATTCAAAGGGTAGTTACAGCTGCAGAGTCACATTCACCGCCAAAAGCACCACCAATGTAAAATAATATTATGGACAGGGGAGATGTGATTAGATATAAGATATATGCACATTCTCAAAATGGTGAGTGAAAGTCAATGTGAACCTTCCATAATTTTTGCCAAGAACTGCTTGGAAGACAAACATTTACCCAAAAGATGAACTTGAGAAGGACTTGAAAAGATAAATCATTTAGGGATCCGCCAGGCTTCTGACAGATATATGCTGTACATTCATGATCCTACCCCCACCAGAACATACCTCCTGTTCCTCCCCTTGTTACACAGAGTTGCAGTAGAAATGGTAAGATTGTGGTGACTGGAGAATGAATGGGAGTGCCTGGAACAAAGGGCAGGAGAGGACATAAGGGCCCACAAGTTGTTGGAAGCCAGATTAGTGGGATGCCAGCAGACTGTGCAGTTTTTAACCCAAGTTAGGAGACAAAGGAGAGTGAGTAAATCCCGATGACTCACAGAGCTGGGACAGGATGGAGAGACTAAGGACTGTCAGCTCCTAAATAGTGTATAAAAGGCAGATCCAAAATCAGCACATGGAGCTCATTGAGAAGACTGGAGAAACTGAAGAAAAGCTCAGCATGCAAATGCAAATCAGCTCAGCTAACAGAAGAAAGGAAATAATATCTGCTATAAAAATAGAAAGGTATTGTAGAGCCTTTACATTGTTTTCCATGGCTTATTCTGTGGAATTACTAATTTGTATTAATGGAAATGAAGGCATTGCAAAGCATTATGAGATAACCTTGGAGAAGGAGAGCTCAGCCTCAGCACACAAGTAGTGAGATGTGTCTTTTTGCCCTAACATAGGACCAAAGGCAGCTGACTTAGGAATAAGCACATAAAAAGACTTTGTGCTGCTGCTGCTAGTAATTATAGTTTGCTTTTATTTTGATGCAGATGCATATAGGTCATTGCTTTGGTGAAATGCATACTTCAGTAATAATTTTCAAATCTCCCAGGTTCTCATAATTTAACCGTTGTTAATTATTTAGCAATTATGCTGATGAAAGGTTAAAAATTATTGCAGAGGCATTTCTTCAGTCAGGAAAAGGAGATATGGTTTAAAATTAAATCCTTGCAGTTGGTGCTAAATGGTAATGACATATTTTTTTTTACTGGATGTAACAGTTGATTACTTAGAAACTTCAGCATTGGAAAGTGGTCTAGAAAAGTATGGTGAGCTAAATAACAGACAAGCATTTCCACTGAGAGATTTGTACATGGTAGATGCCTACATAAACACAGCTTGCAAATTAATATCTTGATGATCACTGAAAGACCACAACATGGTATTTATATGTTTGAGCTCAAACATAAAGTAGGCAGAGACTACAGATAGGCATGTTAAGAAAAACTTTACCTTTCTAAGAAAGAACAAGGTGTATTTTCATGCATTACCAATGCAGCAAATCATGCATATTTAAATGGAAAATAAAGGTAAGTTATGTCAATAGCAGGTGTAGTATCTTTTAAAAATCATACCTGAACTACCAGTTAGTTCTGTTAAACTGCAGTTTTCTTTCTTCTCTTTTGTGAAATTTAGTATAGTTTAAGGACCGTAACTACCATGTCCTATCAGCTATTTCAGATTGCAAAAATGAAAATTAAATCTGTTTTATTTCTCCCACAAACAATAGCTAATATCCAGGGTACACAGAAAAGACTAGAGTTCATGATTCTTTACGCTCTTTAAAGGATAGTCAGAACTAATGAGCCAAGCCTTATGGCTCAAAATTAATAACTCCAGAACATCTCAGAGTAAGAGCAAGAAAGCATCTCAAAGCCATCAGAGATCCCTGTGAAGAATATCCTGCCAAGCACCCACACTTAGAATGAGGAAGGTGCATTATAAGCACGTTTACCAATTGCATCCCTGACCCCAGAGGAAAGTAGAGGGGAGGAATGTAGCCTGCTCACACAAATGGATCTCAAATTGCCAATCACTTCTGGTGCCTCATTTTAGACATAAAATCTCCACTGAAAGATAAGCCAATCTTTTGAGTATGGCAGAGGCATTTAACATAATTCTGCATGCTGTAAACAAGAGCGAGGCAATTGATGACCTTGTACGTGTTAGAAACAGCTAGAGCATGTGTTCAAGCTGTAGTAAGAGGAGAGGTATCAGCACATGTAATCTAAGAACAAATATGAAGATTCAATGATGCCTTGCAGTATATGGAAGTATATGGCAGCATATGGAATTTCTCAAGCATTTCTGAGTATTCATTAGAGTTTAGTATCAAAAGTTAACTACAACATGTTTTAGGAAATACCATGTTTATGAAGATGGTGAAGTGTAATCATTCTGTCAGGTTTTTACTGACAGCAAAAATATATGAGTTCTAAGTTCAGAAGTCTCTAATAAACACCAGCTTAAATTTATACCCTGGAACTTGAAAATATAAACCTAAATGAACTAATTATTCCCATTTGCAAATGGCAGATGAACTTAAATATTAGAAAAATATTTCACTGAAGCAGGGAGGAAGAAGTAGTGAGGCAGAAGGGAGGTATTTAATACATAACCACTTCTTTCCAGAAGTGCAAGCATATAATGTGTAGTCCTCTTTCATCTCTTGTGCTGGGACTGTGGCTGTTATTCTCACCCTGTGATAACACCTCAATCTTGTAGGTTACGGCATCTGGGCTGGGGGATGTGTTCCTACACTGCTGAGGAACAAGCCCCACAGCTACTGAAGCTCCATGGGTCCACAGCTGGTCATTATTTGCCATCTCTGCTGGTGGCTTTAGCCCCTTGGCTGCCCTGTTACTCCAATTTGCCTTGGCAGTTCCCAGCTCACCTGGGTACCCAGTGCTGCTCTGCTGCAGGCGCCCGCTCCTCGCTTCCCTCTGCTCTCCAGCAGGCTTGCCTAACACAGGGCTGCACTGGGGTCCATGGAGGCTTGCTAAATAGACTTCCTATCCTGCCTTCTCAGGCTTCCACACCTGCACCCTGAACCACACTTACCCGAGCTGATTTGTCCTCAGGATTGCAACTGCACAATGTCACTCATGTTATGATGCATCTGCTTATTACAAAGAGAAATATCTCACCTTGTACACCAGCAGAAAACTGTGTCTCAGAGACATCCCTTTGTTTCTCTCCTGTTGCCAAATATTAACAGTTCTTCTCCTTTTCTGGGAGGAAGGCAGTTCTTCCCTTCAGGCCACAGTCATCAGGACTGCATTTGTCTTAAATGAGAGAAGACTGTAGATAATCTTCCTGGTTCTTTCTTGAAACAGCAAAAGAGCAGATAAAAATTAATGGGTTGACTGAAACCTTATGTGAACATAATCTGTGGTGCAGATTAAGAAAGTAATTTCTGTCACAATAGTAGAGTTATTGTAACATTTTGTTGCTTTTAATGAAAACTTTCTGCTGCATTTGTATGAATAAGGGTAATTTCTTTTATGCTGAGTTGTGTCTGTTTGTTTCTTCTATGATTTCTTAAATCCAGAGTTTCAGGGCAAATATATCTGAACTGCACCATACCCTTCCTTTTCTGTTTGGGCTTGAATTGGAGGGTATTTTTTTTGTTTTCTCATTGGAGTTTTTTTTTGGTTGGTTTTTGTTTGTTTAGTTGGTTGGTTTTTTGGGAGGGGTGGTTTGGTTTTTTTGGGTTTTTGTGAGGGGTGGTTTTCAGTTTGGTTTGCTTTTTTTTATGTATTTGACAACCCAAAGTTACTCAAAGTTCGGATAGACATTTTTTAAACTATTTTTCTGCTTCTTCTCACAGTGTTCATCAACTCTGAACACATCCCTTATTCTTTCTGATGCTCAAAAATTTCCACCTATTTTAACTTTCGCATTCTCATTTGATGTTTGTGTTTTTGCAGGTTTGTGAATTTTTTGCATCATGGTTTGCTTGGGGTTTTTTTTTTGGGATGCAACAAAAAAAAAAATCAAAACCAGTCACACATTATCTGGGAGAGGGAGATGTTAGACATTACTGACTTGTAAGTAGCACTTTTGTTCTGGGGTCATCTAAAGCACATACAGGTGCAAGTAGCAGTTTCAAATTTAGGTTTTTACATTATTTAATTTATCTGTGTTAACCTGTGTTAGAAGGCATTTTCCAAACAACAAACTAGCAGTACCTGCCGAGAAGCTTCAACGGTGAGGCAACATTCCTAAAACAGACCCTCATTTGTAGGAGTATAGAAATGAATCAACCTATAGTTCAAGGAAAAATAAGCCCACACCCCTGTTATTTTAAGCTTGGTATCCATGTGTCTCTGAAGGTCCCCAAGCCTGTGAAATTAGCACTGCTGGAAATCAGGAGAGCCATCAATGTAGTCAGTAAGGAAATCCTCCTGCCCACAGTCCTCAGAGCTAGGTTGGAGCAGATGTTGAGTATCCTCTCAGCCCCAAATTACTTTCTAAACACAAACATCTAGTCAGCACTCTGGAAAAGGTTCTATGTGCTGTGAGTGGCTTTTAATCTACTTCTCTCTCCCCACACACTCTATTCAAACATATTCTATTTGTCTCATAACACATAAAGCTTGCCTGCCTTCACAGTGTAGAGTGGGGCTGAGCTATTTCAAATGCCCACAGGATTTGAAATTTTTCTCCTTGCTTTTCTGCAGTGATTAATGCTTTGGAAAGCACAGTTGCCCTGGGATGGCTGGAGCAAATACCCACATGTCTGCAGACAGCTGTAACCAAAGGCAGGAGCAGAATCACTAAAGCTCTGCTGACTGCAGTGCCCAATCAATAATCCATGGCAACAGCATCACAATCTATACAACATACCATAGGGCTGACAGTGGTATTGCTAGCAGAGGGATCTCTTAATGCAAATCCAGCTCTGGAAAATTTGGAATATTTGGAGGTTTGTTTTTCAAAGCACTTACTTGGTATTCACACAGTAGAAATTGAAAGGGAATTTCTTGGGTGCATTAAATTGGACTGATCCATCTCCATAAAACTGGAAGAAAAACTCTACTTGAAAATTAACATGAATATAAATTTGGATGTCATTAAAAGAATTAAAAATATATGTAAGATTTTCACACAGCCTTTTACTCCTACAGGAGTAAAATCATATGTGCAAGAAGACTTGTTAAACTGTATATGCTAAACAAAAATATGAATTACAGAGATGTAGTTATTTTATAAGAATCCTTCAGACTCATACATTTGTCATAAGTCTGTAATTTAATAGCCAAAAACAGATGGAAGAGCGATTTTGTTTGGGGGAGACCTAAAAATCACTTTGAACCCTTGAGCTGCATTTGGGATCATACCATGGAAACATATCTTCTTGTAGGCAAGGCACTTTTCAGTCTGGTTGCATGAAGCCTCATCCTACAAAGATACACATCACTGTGCACCAATGGCACATCACGGCTTCATGGATTTTGGTAGCATAGTTATAGCAGGGATCCGTAGACAATCCTTAGTGTGAAACTCAGTGACTGCAGTGCTAGGTAGGATGCTGATGCATTTCATAATTCTAGTGGTTGTTTTTATTGTCTCATTTTCCCATTTTCTCTTATTTTAGTCTCTTTCCTGATACCATTCTCTATTTGTCCTCTGCCAAGCTATTTCTGTCCGTGTTCCAAACTTTCCAACAATCTTTCTTTCCTTCACTTCTATTCCTCTTTCTTTCTACATACTTTCACAAATTTCTTCCTTCATAATAGTTTCCACATTTCTTCTTCCCTTATGTTGTGGGTTTTATCCTTTCCCCCCCCTTTTTTTTTGTGCTTCTTAAGTCTCTGAGAGTTTTATGGCTACTTCTTGAGCCCATTTAAGAATAGTTCCTTCTTTGCCAGCTCTGCCTCTGCATTTGCCTTAACTATATCTCATTGCTTAGATGTTAATTCATTGTTAGCTTGTAAAGAAGCCAAGCACACTGATAAGTCAAACTCACACATACAAACAAAGAAACTCCAATTAGATTCTTAAGCTGTAACTAATAATTTAACACCCCACTGATTAGGTTTTAAGAACAGACTCCTGATAAGCACAAGAAGTCTTCCTGGACACCTCTTCTACCAGTTATCTTTTGCTTGAAGTCTCGTCACAGTACTCACTTTTTTTTCTGATAAGTGCATCATCTGTCTGAAACTACTGGCATTTCTACAAATATATTTGCTCATGGAATAACAGCCACAAGCAATTCTGATAACACTAAATTAGCAGGAGTCTGAAAATAATGTGCTTGTCAAGCACCTTCCCCCCTCCCTTTCTCTGGATGTTCAGCCGAGGGAATGTATTTTTTCCTCCTTTATTTTTCTGTGATTTGCATTTTCATTTGCTAAGTGTATTACAATGTCCTGTTTGTCTTGGACTGCAGCATCAAGATCTTTGTACATCTTATTCCCTCCAGTAATTTCCCAGGCAAGTATTTCCCCAATGCACCTATTTGCTAAACAAAGACAAAAGATTTCTCTAATGTAGAAAAGTAGCAACTGTCCTCAGAGAAAGCCAAAATCTTTCTAAAGAATAATTAATCTTCTGGAAACAATTCAACAGAATGACATCGCGTGTGTGAATGTGTGTTAGCAAGAAATAAAAGTTTCAAATCATACAGGCTCTCTCCTAATTGATTTGAATAATCAAATAATCAGAATCCCCCCCCCCCCCCCCCCCCCCCCCAGTTCAACACATTTAAGGGTCCTCATACACCATTAGGTCATGCCCCCTCCCAGGATTTGTGGAACCACCAAAACCTGAGAGCCTTCTTAAATAGTTCCCCACTTCCAAGCACTGTATTCTTGGGGCTGGGAAGAAAGATTACCATTAATATTCAAACACAGCTTCAACCCAATCCTGCTCCCAGCAATGTGCTTATGATGATATATAACATATTCCCTTAATCTAGTGTTAGAAATAGTCCATTATTTTGACACCTCACTCACCAAAAAGAGCTTGCAGGAGGCATGTATGCTTTTAGCTACGACCTCTCTGCTTTAGTGCATAATCTTCTTTGTGTAGCACCTTCCAAGAGGGTTTGCAGAGAGGCTTCAGCCTCTTGGGAACACTGCCCAACCCCGTCCTTCAGTTCAGCCAACGATGACTGTCTCAGCTCTGTTTAGTTCTGTGACAAAAGAGGCTCTCTTGGAGCTGATCCAAAATTTCTCTCATGCTCTTCAGCTTCTGGAAGAACCTTCACTTTGTTTGGAGTCCTTCTGGTTCTTCCTGTTATGATGGCTCAAAAGCATCAGTAGGGAAGTGCTGAGCTGAAAGCTGATGCAGTTGAACCTTTCTGAGGGCTGACTTTCTCTGTGTGCCAATAACAAAGAGCAGAGAGCACTTCTCTGTGGTTTTACCCCATCAGGAGTTCTGGGTAAATAGTTTATGCAGATGGACTAGCTCCCTTCCCATTATTCTCCCTTTCTGTGAAAAATTAGTGTAATGGAGGTTTGGAGTATGGGACTTAAATGAAGTTTTATGAAATGATATTTTTCTGCTTTAGAATAAAACCTGTCAGAAGGAAAAAACAAACAAAAAAAATTACAGGAGTTAAAATTCCCACAGCTGCATCCAAGTATTTTTTAAAATGTCATTATCCCTCCAGCATTAACACAATGCTGATGATGCTGCACAGAGGTGCTAAGTTCTTTACCTGAATCACTGTTACCAGATGCCATGTGCTCTGTGAAAACATAATTTTTGTTGATTCAAGGTCAGACAAGTTCCATCAATAGTTATCTCTTACTGACTCATCCAGAAAGTGCCTCCAAGGTTTAAACTGGTCAACCACAGGTAGATCTGAGTGCATCCTCTTAAATTTCCTCAAACATATCGTGCTTACTTCCCTTTCTCCACTTCAGCCTCCCCATGAGACATAAGCTTGCTTCCTCAGTATCCTCCCATCTTGGTTTCTATCACCACTTGTAATGTTAAGATGCAGTTTCATCCATAGGATCCTGGGCTGACAGAACATACTTTTATCCCCACATGACTCTGCATGCCTCTGAAGAGCAGTTGCCACATTTCTTAGGGGGAAAAAAAGTGATTTTTGTGATTCTGCTTAGTGTCCTCTAGCCATATGATTCTTTTTTAGGTTTTCCTGCCCACTTATTTTTTCAGTTCAGTTTTGACTCTATGGCTTCTTCCCTTAACATAAGGCATGAGCCTTTAGTTGCAAGTGTTTCTTTCTTAAGCCCACTCATTCCAGGAATTTTTTAGCAGAGCACCGAGATTTTTTCAACTGTTACACTGCATACATTCTCTTTCCTACTTTAGAAAAATACTGAAACCACTAGTTGCTTTATCTAATCTTTTCCAACCCACAACTTTGTAATCACAGTTATTTGAAAAACAGCTGAACAGAGACCAGAAGCAAGACATATTTGATTAGGGCTGGCACTATGCAAATATAGCTGTACTTATTCTGGGCCAGATCCAGACTGAGTCTTGTGGATTTACAGGCTCAGCTCAGCCTGGTGAGGTTTGTACCATATTGTCTTCCACGATATACAGACAGATTCTCCCTCGCCTAGGCAGCACTGCAGCTATAACTGTGCACAGCAGCCCTTTCCTTGGGCAGTACCCTCTTCTGTCTGCTTCCCTTGCAGAGTTGCTTTTGTCCCACTCTCTCAATACAGTGGCCATCTTTATTTTCCATACTTTTAAAACTCAGCCTGACTGTTGGTGTTCTGTTGGCATATCTCAGTCATTTCCCTTAAGCAAGTTCTAGCCCAGGTTTCTGGTCTTTACTCCTTTCCTTCTCTGGATGGACTGGGACAGTCAGTGTCTCTTCCAGATGCACCTGGGTAGCTCCTGCTGGGATTCCTGGCTGCTGCCTGGTTCTTACTCTACCATCAGCAATAGCAAAAGATTCCTCTTAGATATATTCTTCACTGAATTTATTA